TGTCCTCACCGCCAGGAACCTTGTCCTCACCGCCAGGAACCTTGTCCTCACCGCCAGGAACCTTGTCCTCACCGGTCACCGGCAGGAACCTTGTCCTCGCCGGCAGGAACCTTGTCCTCACCGGCAAGAACCTTGTCCTCACCGGCAGGAACCTTGTCATTACCGCCAGGAACCTTGTCCTCACCGGCAGGAACCTTGTCCTCACCGGCAGGAACCTTGTCCTCACTGGGAAGAACCTTGTCCTCACCGGCAGGAACCTTGTCCTGGCCGGTCACCGGCAGGAATCTTGTCCTCACAGCCAGGAACCTTGTCCTCATCGCCAGGAACATTATCCTCACCACCAGGAACCTTGTCCTCACCACCAGGAACCTTGTCCTCAGCGCCAGGAACCTTGTCCTCAGCGGCAAGAACCTCGCGAAAGGCCTCCGAAGTTTTTACTCTTGTGCAATCGAATGAGATCATATAAATTTGATTATCGCGTATCATGTTTATTATAATAATCACTATAATAATCACGGTTCGCGAAACAGGCATCCTTAATTCTCATTTCACGGAGCATTTTTATCAACAATCACGCCTCACGGCTGTAGAACAAATCACGTTTCACAACACTAAAATCAAGTATTTCACACGAACAAATATTCACCATTCACGGCTCACGAAAATACCCTTTCCCACCCTCAATAGAGAATAATACGTGGGAGCGCGGAAATACCAGATTTATTTCGAGTGTTGAACACGATACCTCACGAGTGAGCGCAGTGATCGAGTGAGATATCATGTTCAACACGAGAATATCGTATTTTTTACGTGTGTTTAAATACAGCTAAATACGATTTTTCTCAGTGGCCAAAAACACTATATAACACTTATGTTTATATAATAAATTGTTTTAATTCTTTTAAAAACTATATTTTCTAGGAATTGAAGGATTTTTTAAAGATTTTATAAAAGCTATATACACATGCGAAACAATATCACGATAGTCAACGAACATTTCGATATATCGTCGCTCAAGTTCCTATTTCCGATACGATAATCGCAAATGAAAATATCGCGATAAATCGAAATATCGCCCAACCCTAGTCTAGGGTACCTGACTACCCATGGTCCCCCTTTTGCATTTTTAAAACATGTTTTTATGGATCAAAAGTAGTTTTTTTGATGAAAGAAATGCTTATTGACAATTTTCAGAACGTTTCAAGTAGATTGAAGAATTTTTGAAAAATTTCCTGTGGTCCCCCTGCAACTTTTGCAGTTACCCTGCATGGCAGGCCCAATATTTGACCAACATTTTTCGACTATTTTTAGATCGTGAATTTGACAAATTTAGTTGAATGTCAAGGTTTCTTAATCTTTCCAAACCAATAGAAGAAATCTGCAATGAATTGGAACAATATTTAATTGTCTGAAGATGAACAAGATGTATGTATCTTTTCTCAATTGTATATATACATGTATTCTTAGAATTTTTCTTCATTCAATTTAGAAATATTTATAAACTATATCCATAATTTATACAGAGGATGCATTTAATTTATTATTTTTATTTGTCTTAATATACATATTGACCCATGTTCATGACCAGTAGACTGTGATGAGTGGACAATTTCCTAACAACTGACAGCCTGTACAATAAACCGTGCTTCTTCCTGGGACCTGGGTAGAGCCAGCTCACTGACCACATACGACATCGAATATGCCAACCCCAGAAAAACTGTCCAGCCATCTGCAGCAAGATGGTAGATTTCAAATCTCTCGTAGGGTTCAGTGTTTGAGCTGTCATAAGTCCATGATAGGGTTAGTGTTATGCAGGAGTGGAAAATATAGCGGACCATTGGTCCCAGAAAATTTTTTATGCTGGCAGAAAGAAAAGAGGGAAGAAAAAGGGGGAAAGAAAGAAAAGAAGGAAAAATAAAGAAAGAGAAAGTAACTACACCAATAAGTAGACATTTTATTCAGGTACAGACACTAGGTGAAGACTTTAGTTTACATACAAGTGCCCTATTTACAGTATATAATTGAAGAAGTTTGGGTTTTAGCAGAGCCTACTATTCCTCCTGTCACCCAATATTTCACAAAGTGTCTGCCAGTGATTATATTATATAAAGCACGACTAAAATGCAATTACAGTTAATAGAAAATACACATTGGTAGGAAGATTGGTAAACTTCAAATAATTTCCTAACCAAACTTCGATTGATGTTGAAAACTTGAAATCTACCTGAAAGTACACAATTTGTTGATCAATATGAAAATCTTACAGGTGAAGTCTGAGATTTCCATTGAGCAATTGCTAACCCTCTTTGCAAGTGACCCTTTAATTAATTTAAATTATACAGGATTTGCGTTGGCAACTCGCAGAAAATTTTCCCACTTTTCGTTGTGGTCTAAATTTTCCACCCCTGGTGTTATGACGAGTGTGTTTGAGTTCAATGTACGACTCTTTATCTCGCTTTCAAGACATTTTAATGAGGTAGCCATTGGAACTTGGAAGAGGTTGTCTTAAGGAAACAGCATCAATTATCTATGATAAAACGTATATGTCAGTATTGGCTAATTTGCACAATTATAAAAAATACATCTTAATTTACTAATACAATTTATGAAATAAAGAAACAACTTTGACAAACCTTTACTTCTCCGAGATAAAGTTGAAATGGAGTTGAAGAACTTTCCATTTTGGAACCTATTCATTAGGATAATGTAAAGTTAAATATGATATCTTCTGAAACCATATCATCTATATGCACTGTTCAAATAAGAGCCACTATATATGTAAAATAATATAGTATAAATTTACCAGGAATGGTTTTGTTCATTAATACCAAACGGATTTCTTTGATATGAGAACCCTTTAAGTCCTTTTCCGCTAATAAATAGTATCTAGGAATATAAATGAGTATAAATGTAGCAACAATGTATATATGCAATTGTTGTGACAATGGTTAGTGTATGCACATTTCATCTACAGTATGTGATTGAGCTTAGTTCAATAACTGCAATTTGCAACTCTCTTATTGTAATTTCACCCAGCTCAGTTTCCTCCAATACTAAGGCATGAGCCTCACTGGACCTCTAGGGAGAACAGAGTTAACCAGTGTAAATGTAGTTGACCATTCATTATTCTGTTGCACCGTGCTTAGTGAAACCAACCTGTTATCAATGCTTTGCAATTTTTGCATTAATATTTTTACATACTTATCCTGACTGGATTTGAAAGTAGATTTGTATTTCGGATAGACCCATCCAGGTGCAAACAAGGCCGCAGAGAGATCATTTTCCTTGATACAAAGAAAGTTAAGTGTATAATAGCCTTGACCAACAAGGCTTTGACTTGACGTCAATGGCACAATGGGCATAAATACACCATACTGACATAATCATGTGTTAGGTAGTTACAGTTGAACTTCTCTAAGATGAGCAGGTGCCTTTATTAGAGTACTGTTTGTATTAGAGAGGTATCCATATTGGACAGGTGTCTGTATTAGAGAGATGTCCATATTAGAGAAGTATCTGTATCTGACAGGTGCCCATATTAGAGAGGTATCTGTATCAGTAAATTGACTGTCGTAGATAGGCATCTATTTTGAGATGTGTATTAGTCAGATGACTATGTTAGAGGGGTATTCGATTGTCAAATTCAGTAATTGTACTCTCTAGTACTAATTTTTTTCTACCTTATTAGTATTCCATCCACCACCACCATACACGCCTCTACCAAACACGTCAACCCCAACATAAACATCGTATCATCTCTCGGGGCCTGCTGCTCTTGCGGAAAGTGCCAAGCTTGTTTGATTCCAGCCATAGTTTAGGAATATCCCATCAGATGCATCAAAAAACACTCTACAAAAAATATTAGTTACCTAGATTTGGGGTTGCTTGTTCCAAACACAAGCAGAATACTTTATTTTCTAAGTCACATTGTAGATAAGTTCTACTGGTTTTACTCAACCAAACATTGTATATTTTCTCTGGGCACGCACTTCCGATTCCTTCTGTAGAAACAGACAAACAAGGGATAACCTAAATGGACCTCTAAAATAAAAAGTTTACAACTGATTAAATTACACCTATATTTTAGATGAACTCAGGGTCGCCGAGAGAATTCAGGGGGCCCGGGGCAAATCTTCCCTCGGGGCCCCATGACATCATTATTTTTAAGCTAGACCTTAGCTAGACTGCATGTGGAGGTATTCTCACTCTTAAGTTGGGGCCCTGGATTTACTGTCATATACTGTATGCCAGCCTACCTGTTTTCAGCATTCAGTTCATTTTGCCATTTCAATTCGCTCATGTTTGTCACATTGCCATACCAAATGATAAGAGAACAGGGCATGACTTTGTGTATCCGATCTGTCAGATATTTCATGAATTCCACCAAATTGTTCATTTGTGCTGGCTGAAATAACAAAACCCAAATTCACAATGTTTAGTGCATTAGTCTATTTTTCACGCCAACAAAAACAATCACTGTACCTGTATTGGGTTTTCAATATTTATTAACCATCCGTCAAAGCCATAATACTTTGCAAAAAAACCCAACTGATCTGCAACTTGATCTCTGTCTGTAAGACAACTGATCTTTAAATATCTCGGCACACCTAGCAGCTCCGTCCTCCCACTCTGTGATAAAGGTGCCTAATACTAAAACACTATGCTTGTGTGCAGCATTTATCCAACACGGAAGAGGAATAGTAAAAATTATGACTGAAGTATATGAATATGTCGATCTATTGCCAGTGGTAAATGCGGTAGCATTCGGTTGAAGGACAGTCTTGCACAAACCTAAAACATAGTACATTCCATGATTAACCGGCTGTTAGAGCACAAGAATCCCCTTGACAAGTAAAATGATAAACTAGTACATATGGGCACATTTTGCTGGGTGTACTAGACACATATTGGTAGATTGTTTGGGTAACTTAATCCAAGCAAGAAACTCATCTCCCCTTGGCAGGCAAAATTGTCTGGCATTAGGCACAGCAAAACGATACGCTAGAGCACATATGTGCATATTTCGCAGGGTATACTAGACATCACTAACTCTAACTAACTCTTGACTAACTCTAACTAACTCTTGACTAACTCTTACGACTAACTCTTACGACTAACTCTTGACAAAGGGCCTAACTCTTGATGAAGGGCCTTCGCTCAAAACGTTGAGTTTCTGCTTATTTTTTAAGGTAGTAGTATAATCACTCAACACAGCAATTTCACATTGGTACTACCTACACTGGTACATACAGTTTTAGCATACTAGACATATTGGTACATTGTTTGGTTAACCATTAAAATGAGAAACTTCCCCTTGACAAGTAAAATCATCTGGTATTAGACATAGCAAAATAAAAAAGTAGGGTGCATTACCCCTCAATGAGTTAATGTCCACCACTTTTTCTTTACAAGTAAAATCATCTAGCAATGTGTTGCACTGAACTGTCTAGTTTTGAGTTCGATTTAGCGTTGGGGTTAGGATTGGTTTTAGCTGTAGGGGGTAAGGTTTAGGGTTGTTAGTGCCTTGTTGATTCATTCACGTTTTAACAATCTTGAAAACAGGCCAGCATTTTAATGACCTTCAAATAAATAGGTGGATTTTGCTAAGCACACACTGTCTCACATCAGATGGTTGTCAACTGACTAGCTGGCAGGCAAATGAATAAACTTGCTCACCTCTATCGGTGTCAATATTTTGGACGTCAACAACCATCTGATGCTCTATAATGCTTACTGCAACCTACAAACAGCCACCTTACCTATCCTGTACATAACATAACCTCCTTTCATATCATGACACACAATTGTTCTCGGACGTCGTTCTAAACTATTCCCAACCCTCCCTAATGACACTGAGCTCACATTTAGCTCATCGAATCCTTCAGTCCATGCCAACAGTTCGTCCAAATTAGTCAATGGCTGTGTCACAGGGGCGGATATATCATTGGAATTTGCTGGTTTGTTTTTAGCTGCGGGCTTGTAGGCACTAGATTGGTCCTGTATTCCTTCATTTCTAGAACCTGAATTGTGTGTATTTAATATTCCTGGTAAATTAATTGTGTTTAATTCGGTGTCTACAGAGTCTCCTTGTGTACGAAACCCTTGATTTTCCGCAATGTCGCCCATATCTTCAGATGCATTCATTGCATTGATAGATTGGTTTTTGGGTCCTTTCTGCACCTGTACGGAGCTTTCATCATCATCAAAAGCCCTCGCTTCAAATCGTTTGAGGCGATTTTTAAGCATGTCTGCCCATGAGAGTGCAGGTCTATTCTTCCCCTCATTTGTCACATTGTTTCGCTGGGTATGCCATTTCCAAAATAGATAAGAAAGCAATAATATCACCGATGTTGACAAAAGTGCAACAAGAAAATCCGCCATATTGTTTTGAAACGTGTTTTCTCGGGATTTGTCGTAAAGTTTTCGTATTTTGACGGAACTATAAGTTTCCCCTTGGGAATTAAAATGGACCAATAGGAGTGCAATCTTTCCGACCAATCACGTGTGTTAGATGTAAAATATCAGGTGATCATCCCTTGGGGGATTAAAATGGACCAATAGGAGATGCCAAAACCGTTTTGTCCAATAGGAATGGTGATTTCTTATCATGTGACCTATTGACAATCATGCCACGAAATTCAAGCGACATGCTATTCGCCTATTCGTTTTGGGGCGTCGAGTTGAACAAAGCAAATTTGACTTCTTGCCCAAATTTTAAAGCAAAATTAAACAAGAAATGTTGAAGTTTCAACCTCGAGAGAAACTCAAAGACTAAACTAAGGTATGTACTTTCTATTTTACGTAAAATGTACATGTTTCGGCGAGCGCAAGTGCTTTAAATTCTTGTCAAAGTTGACAGCCGAAATTCGCTTCGGTTCATATTCGGCGTCTTGTCCTGGCGTAAAAACATTGAATTTTAGACTTGCTTTTCGCTATATTTACTTTAAATTACTAGATAGATTGTTAGATAGAATACTCAGAATGTTTTAGAGCTAAATTTATTTCAAATTTTGTCATTTTAGTGGAAAGAAATATTCAGTTGTCAAATTCGTGGTCAATGTCATGAAGCAAAGTCGATTCAGTAAAATCGCTTTCTTGTTCGAAATTTTAAAGCAAAATTAAACAAGAAATGTTAAAGTCTCAACCTCGAAAAAATCTCGAAGACTAAACTAAGGTATGTACTTTCTATTTTACATAAAATGTACATGTTTCCCCGAGCTCAACTGCTTTAAATTATTGTCGAAGTTGACAGCCGAAATTCGCTTCGGTCGCCATTCGATACTCTATATTGTCCTGGCGTAAAAACATTAAATTTAGACTTGCTTTTCGCTATATTTACTTTAAATTACTACATAAATGGTTAGATAGAATACTCAGAATGTTTAGAGCTAAATCTGTTTTAAATTTTGTCATTTTAGTGAAATGAAATATTCAGTTCGCAAAGTCGATTCAGTAGTAAAATCGCTTTCTTTGCTCGAAATTTTAAAGCAAAATTAAACAAGAAATGTTGGATTCTCTACCTCAATACAAACTATAAAGGTATGTATGTATGCTTCTGTTATATTTATGTAAAATGGCCATATTTTTAGCGAGATAATCACTCGCTCGAAACGCCCTTTGCCGAAGTTGACGAGCGCAACTCGCTTCGCCTTCGATGCGCCGTCATTGTCATTGAATTATCGAATTTAGCTTTGGCTAGTTTTGCTTTTCGTTATTTTTAGTTTATTTAAAGTAACACACCAATTCAACCCTGAATTTAATCCTTGTTAGGGACCGGTCATAAAGTAACTGCTAGGGTGGGCTGGATTGATTTGGGATGGGCCATGGAAAATCTTTGGGCAGTTTCGATGGGTAGCCAATTTATTGGTATCTCCAGGGTTGGACCACCAAACAAAACCCATGTTAATTATATATTACATAAAGTTATTAATAATAAAAGTGAACAAAACTATCCAAATTATCAAATGCAAATGATGCTATTGAAGCCAGTACTTTGTTTTATACAACAACAAGAAGTGGTCGAATCACAGCAAATACAACCAACTGGAGAGCAGCTCAGCATCGTAATTGGTGATGAATGGTGATCAAGCTTTGTCGAATTATGTTTGTCAATACAGTGCCGTGTATATTTACAATGTTCATACTTGCAAGTTTTTTTTATTACAAAAGTGTATTTTCCCAATTTAGATTGGGTGTGTCATGAAATAAATTTGGCAAGATTAGATGGGCTTTGAAATTTTTATCTACATCGTAAGATGGGTCACCAAACTTATTGGCAAAATTTGTGATTTACCTCCAGCCCACCCTAGCAGTTACTTTATGACCAGTCCCTTAGGGTGATTTTAAAGCTAAATTTGTTTAAATATTTGTCGTTTTTGCGAAAATAATTGATACAACGCGATGAAATAAACTATGCATAAATGGCGGACCATTAAGGCCCATACAGACCGGACGCGATTTGGCAACGCGACGCGAATTTTCAGTTTCAATGACATTTAACTTTAATATTTTTCCAATGTTTTTCAAATATTCGGAACCATTTAAGCAATTTTAGCTATTTGGTCTGCATATCTTGTAAAATGTTTATCCGTTGACGGTTTTATTTGTTTTTAAAAACTGAAAATTCGCGTCGCGTTGCCGAATCGCGTCCGGTCTGTGTGGGCTTTTAGAAAAGTGATGGGGAGGGAGGGGGGAGATTTTTTCAACCAGTACGAATATTTTTTTCATATTTTTTGCCTGTGTCGATAATTTTCTTAGATATAATCCCCTGTACTAATCTTTTTGTTATTTCAACTTAACTTTCCCTGTTGAAAAACCTTTGTACAAAGTTTTTTTTCAAACTGTTTTGTTGCACGAAGTTTTTTCTTTCTGTTTTCCCCAGTGCGATTTTTATTTGCTCCCCCCCCCCTCGGCCCCCATACTTTTCTAATGGTCCGCCCCTAAATATTCCTTATTTTAATACTTTGTGTTTGTGGAAACACCACGCAAAATTATACTGCAGCAGTAATAAATTTACGGGGTGTTTCCACAAACAAAAAGTATTACTATTATATTATTATATCAATGGCACATCTATGGTTTTATCGCCATCGGCGCCATGCAAATCTCAACAAAGAACTTATTTCTTATTTTATTGTACTGTATTAATGGTGGCATAATGTACTAATTTGATTTGTTATTAATATCTTTCTAATTTTATTTTCAGGCTGAATGAATCAAAATTGAATGTGTGTCGCTGGAAAACCACTATACCCCTGCAGACTGATTGAATTATCAAATTGTATAAAAGCGAATTCAAGGAGAAAAATGTTCAATTCTCAACTTCAAGAGAAAGCTTATTAAGAAACTCGAGACAGAACTAAGAGTGTCTAAGGTATGTTCTTTCTAGTTTATGTAAAATATATGGGGAATATAAGTGCAGGTTTTGAAAAAAAATTTGAAAGAAAGACCACAGCCCACAGGCAAGAATTGGTCAAAACCTGGATTGTTTCACATTCGGGAGTGTTCATTATTTATGGTTTGGGGTTTGTTTTTGGGTGGTTGCCAAAGGAGTAATTGAGAGGGGGTCATGAAAGTTTTAGTTCTGGCAATGTTTTGACCTCTTTAAAATATGCTTTTATAAAACGTGAAAATTTTCAATTATTACATGGCTACAAGTTTAATAGACTCTTTCAAGGTTAATTAAATGCAATAGTGCAAGGGGTGCAAACGCAGTGGAATTCCCTCTAGGTAAATGTGCCGATGGTGCAAACACAACGGTGTAAACAATACTCACAGAAACCTTGAAAGGCTGTATTACAGGAGCTTTTGCACCATTACTAACGTCATAAAATAAAAACTTTATTTGTTTAACTGATATATTGTACATACCACATTTATGTATTTTATTGTACTGTATTGTATTTTATGTATGTACTGTATTTTCTATAGGATGTGGGGGGGGGTCACAAAAGTTTTTGGTCTTTTCATGGGGGGGGGGTAATGTAAGTTTTGGATAGTTTTGACTGATAAACTAGAGATAAAAATATTGGTTCAGAAGGGAGGTCCAGTTATTTTATTATAGTGGGGAAAATTTGACATGTAACATTACTACCGCAGGGAGCAAACAAGGCAACAAATTTAATCCATGTTAGCTGGCAAAATTTTTTATTTTAATCAACAGATAGACCCAAAATGCACACAGCCAACATGAAAAACCATCGAACATCTACCATAATTTTTGCCATGAACTTGCCATCAATTTTCATCCAAGGGTGGATTTTCATCAGGAGGGGTGGAAAAATGTCTAGTGGGCTGGGGGTGCAAGCGGCACCACTGAGCAAGCTTTTTACAGGGGTTAGGGTTAAATACTTTCACACATGACAAATAGGAGGGGTGAAGCAAAATTTTGGTGAGGCTGAAAACAGTTTATGAGAGGGGTTAGAGAGATTCTAAGGGGGTTTAACCCCCCCCCCCCCAGTGAATCTGCCCATCTGAATTTGTGTGTATACTATATACTGACTAGCATACACTAGGCATATTTATACATAGTTTAATTTAGTAAGTACGTAATATGTGCTATAGTAGGAAATAATTACTTTGTAGTGTAGAATACACTGAAACTGGATTCTAATTTTTAATTAAATTAAGTAAGATTTTTTTATCAAAATTCTTCTGGCCAGTCTTAAAAGTTTAATTCCACAGTGATTGTTCCCGAAATGAGAATATGCTGAAACTTCCCAGGCATGGAGTTTATAATATACTTAAAAAATCACACAAAAAAATTCGGGGTCACCAAACTCGTTAAGAAGACATGACAATCACAATATACCACCTTTATTCAAATATGACGCCATCTTGACGCTCATTACGAGTAACAGCAAACTCACAACAGCCCGATATTGACTGACGTTTTTAGCGCGGATTTCGCTTTAATTAGTAAACCGATCTTGTAATTATCTTTAAAAAAATATTGTGTTTTGAGCAAAATGAAACTACTAACGTGTACAATTCTGATCCACAAATG